ACACCAGAACTAGTTTTTAGATTTCCGCTTGAAAATTTACCAGCGCAAACGACGAAAAGATAAAATTTCTTGCCAGGCATCAGCTTTGTCAGAAATTTTTTGAGATTTGAAATCATTAGTGGTGCGGTGTTGGCGAAATATTCGTAGAAGTTCTGAAGTACAAAGCTGATCAAAAATTCACGAGAATCGCTGGAGAAAATCACTTTTATTAAAGGTCCCATAAAAAATAAATGTTTTGGAATTCAGCAATTGAACGAACAAATGCCCATGAAACTTGTGTAAACCATTAGCTAACAGTTTTTCTTTGGTTATTGCTAAGCTGTTCTTGATAACGCCAACAATTAGCTCTGAAAACCAGTCATAGCTGTTTTACGATCAAAAACGGCTTAAACTGTCAAATTTCCCTATGCTGAAAAACTAATGCTGAAAAACTGTTCTGTAATACACATTTTATGTGAACTTCTCAAAAGATTTGACTATTGTTTGTTCTCAGGCAAACAACTTTTGTAACAACACAGACTTTTTACGGCCTTTTAGCGTTTAAATGCGAGCGCCCTCAAACGTCTAAAAAATCTTTGACGACCAAGTGAAATATTCAACAGCCCTGTATCTTGCTGATTATTCAGTGATCTAAACAAGCAGCTTACATGCTAGGTTTTGCAGATCATCATTTAGTCTCTCTTCAAATATAGCACTCCAGAACCTTTCATCGTGAACAAGTGTTATCAATTCTGAAACTCCCAAGTTGTAACGCAGAAAACAGTTATCAGCAACGATAGAAAAATTACCAAAACTGGATGATTACTGACCTTAGCTCTACCCATCAGCCCTTAATCCCGCTGTCCTCCAAAAATTAAATGATTTTTCTACTAATTTACGGTCGTTCAATAGCATTACCACTAAAAACTATTGGCTGAACAGCCATTTCATACTAGCACACAACTACTCCCAAACAGTCTACTCAGCTGACCTCGCTAACATCACCGTTCCTTCTAAACTGAAATTCCACCATCTATTGATACCTCACTTCCACACAACATTCCACCTCATCACTTCATTACAAATTAATGAAGGCTTTCCACTATGTAACCTTCAGAGTGAACGGACTCATAAGCTGCACAGAAAATTAGCTAGAAAGACTACCAAAATGTCCA